TCTCTTGTACCAGCCACTTGGTATAACTCATTAATAGGATGTTTTGTGGGAGATTTTCTATATATTGGAACATGTCATTTTGACAAATAGTTTTATTGCTCCATTTCCAATTTGGAAGCTTTTTTTTTTCATCGTCATTTTTTTGACACTTCTGTGTTTCTCACTGCTCTGGTTGACATTTCCAGACAACTTGTTCTTGACTACTGTGATAGATTTTCCACAAATGCCCTTTACAGTGATGACTTTAGTGGTTGGTGCTGTTATTTTTAAAGCTTTATCTAGTTATAATTCACATTTCATAAAATTTACCCATTTAAAGTATACATACATTAGTTTTTCGTGTATTAAGACTAGTGCAACCAGCCAGTATCACAACACTCAATTTAAGAATACTTTCACTGCCTTAAAGAGAAATTCTGTACCCTTTAGCTATCATTCCTCTATATCCTACTTAAGTGAACCACCAATTGATGTATCTATGTTGTAGTCACCGAATTGACTAGGACTCATAACCTGAAGAACGCATTCCTATCCTATACCATCCTCAGTATCTATCTCAGCTCATTGTGTCAATCTATTTTACTTAGGGTCTTCCTTCTTCTCGGACCTTTACCTTCCCCAGGATCATGTCCTTTTCCAAGAAGTGGCCTATCCTAACAACACACCCAAAATTATGTCATATGAAGTTTAACTATCATTGCCTCCACGGAACACCCTGGCTGCGCCCGTTCCAAGACACATTTGTATGTCCTTTCCACAGTCCATGAGATATTTAGCACTCTTCGTCAACATAATTCAAAAGGCATCAATTCTTCTGTCATCCTGATTCATAGAGATTTCTCTGGACTTTCAAATAATTGACGCATATATGTGTTCCTTTATGTCTGGCTTCTTTCACTTTGCTCACTAGTCTTAAGGTTCATCCAAGTTGTTATCAGTACTTCTTCCTTTTTAGGGCTAAATAATATTCCATGCCATGAACTCACCATATTTTTTTTAACATTCATTTTCTACACTCTTTTCCCTTGTAACTTTTTTTCATTTTAGTGCAAGTCAATGTATCTTCTGACATGCATTTTGGTCCTTTTTTCCCTTTCCTGTCTTGTAATGACCTTTTTACTTTTAAGGATGAGGTCTTTGATATTATCCCACAATTTAGGTGGTCGTCAGTCATTCATAACACAAATCTGTTCCTGAGATGGTTTTTAAATTCAGATGGATTACTCAAGGTTTTAATTTGGTTCTCATGGACTTGTCTTAATTTTTTTATCTTCACTTTGAACTTACATGATAGTCTGTACCACAGCCAGCCCCTGGCCTTGTTATAATTGCGGGGGGGGGGGGGAATGGGGGCGGCAGAGAAGTAAGACAGTCTTCTCCCCCGTGATTTACAGCTTTTGAAAACCTGTCCTGTTGGAGGGTCAGTTGAATTGGTCCAAGTCAATTACAGTGACATTAGGGAATGGTGACTTTGGGCCAAGCATGAATTAACTATTTATGGTATTAGGAATGTCATGGTTTAAATTGTTGTTAGGTGCTGCTGAGTCAAGTACAATGAAAAAGTTCTAAACCCTGTCCTATCCTGTGCCATCATTACTTCAGATACACTTGAGCCCGTTGTGTCAATTCATCTTAAGGTTCTTCCTCTTTTCTACTAACTCTCCACCTTTCCAAATATTATGTCCCTCAGAGGAAAAGCTCCTTCTATCAACTTGCCAAAAGTAGGTGAGATGAAACTTTGTCATTTTTGCCTCCAAGGTGCACTCTGGCTGATCTAACATATACCTGTTTGTTCTTTTTGGCAGTCCATGGAATATTCAGTACTCTTCTCCAACAACCACAGCTCAAAGGCATCAATTCTGTCATCCTTATTCACTGTACAGCTCTCAGACACATAGCTCAAGTGATTGAAAAGACCATGGCCAAAATCAGGCCAAGACTTTGGTCTTCAAACTGGTATTATTGCTTCTCAATAATTTGGAGAGGTCCTTGACTGCTGGTACCAAGGAAGTTGATTATGGATCCCATATGTCGTTTACAATTTTAATCTTTTACCCACCTATCATGATGTTACCTATTAGTCCAGTGGTGAGAATTTTTTCCTTGACAAAATGTAATCCATATTGAAGACTGTAGTCCTTGACCTTCAGCAAGCACTTCAAGCCTTCCCACTTTCAGCAAGGTTTGTGTCATCTGCCTAAAACAGGTTATTGCTTGATGGCATTCTTCTTCAGAGTCCAGCTTCTCAAGTGATATGCTCAGCATAAAGACAGAGGATACAACTTTCAAGTACACTTTTCCAATTTTAAGACATGTAGTGTTCCCTTGCTCTGCTTGCAAACACCCTTTTAGTCTGAGTTCTGCATAATAGCAAGTTAAGTGTTGTAGGATTCCCATTTTTTCAATGTTAGCCATAATTTATTATGATCCATGTAATTAAATGCCTTTGCATAGTCAGTAAATCACAAATAGACCTTCTTATGGTACCCTCTGCTTTCAGCCAGAATTCATTTGGCACCAGCAATGATTATCACTGCCACAGCCTATTCTAAACAGCTTGAACTTCTGGCAGTTCTCTACATACTTTTCTCATCTTATGTGCTGTTGACTCACCTGCAACCCATAGCAACCCCATGTGTCCTGAGTCAGTCTCACTAATTCTACCACCCCCCATTGCCCCAGTCCCTGTATCAGTCCATCTTATCTGGAGTCATGCTCTCCTGTGCTGTCCCTGCACCCTTCCAGGCATAATGTCCTTTCCCAAGGACCAGTCTCCTGGCCACGTGCCCAAAGTATGAGATGGAGCTCAAAAATCATAGCCTCCAAAGAGAGACTTGGTTTCACTCTCTCCCAGACAGACCTATTTGTTTTCTTGGCAGTCCATGGTATTTTCAAGACTCTTCTCCAGCACAATTCAAAGGCATTGATTCTTTTTCTGTCATCCTTAGTTACTGTCCAACTCTCTGAAGCATAACAAGTAAATGTGAAGACCATGGCCTGGATTAGGCACACCTCTAGTCTCTACACTGACATCGTTGCTTTTCAGCACTCTGGAAAGGTCCCTGACAGCAGATTTTCCCAATGCAATTCATCTTTTGACTTTGAGCTGAAGATTTCAAAGGGAAGCCAAAGAAGACAAGGCAAAGTATTATAATGAAATGTTCAATGAGGTGGAGTCTGAAAAACCAAAAGGGCCAAACTTGCTCAACATTTCTTAAGCTGAAGGAACTGAAGTACAAATTCAAGCTCCAAGTTGCAATGCTTAGGGAAACTATAGGGAAAATATTGAATGATTCAGGAAGAATTAAAAGAAGATGGAAGGAGTAAACAGAGTCACTGTACCAAAAAGAATTGGCAGATGCAGAAGAATTTCAATAAATAACATATGATCAAGGGGCAATAGTGATTGAGGAAATTCAGGCTGCTCTGAAGAATCTGGCAAAAAAATAAAGTCCCAGGAATTGATGGAATACAAGTTGATGTCTTTCAACAAACACATGCTGCCCTGGATGTGCTCACCAAGTTGTGCCAAGAAATCTGAAGGACAGCTAGTTGGCCAATTGACTGGAAGAGATCCTTATTTATTCCCATTCCAAAAAAAAGTGACCCAACAGAGTGTGGAAATTATTGAACAGTACCACACACTAGCAAAATCCTGCTGAAGATCATCCAAAACCAACTGGAACAGTACACCTACAGAGCACTACCAGAAATATATGCTGGGCTTAGAAGAGATCATGGTACTAGAGACATTACTGCCAATATCTGATGGATCTTGGCAGAAAACAGAGAGTTACAGGAATGTCTGTGTTTGACTATGCAAAGGCATTTGACTGTGTGGATCACAACAAATTGTGGCTAACCTTAAGGATAATGGGACTCTCAGAACACTTGATTGTGCTTATGTGAAATCTGTACTTCGGCAAAGAAGCAGTCCTCAGAACAGAGCAGGGAAACACTGCATGGTTCAAAATCAGAAAAGGAGTATGTCAGGGATGCATCCTGTCTCCATACCTTTTCAATCTATATGCAGGAAAGACGATTTGGGAGGCTGGGCTTTATGAGGAAGAATGGCATCAGGATTGGAGGTAGACCCAACAACAACCTATGTTATACAGATGACACAAACCTTGCTTGCTTAAGACCTGAGGTGCTTGCTGCATAAGGTCAAGGACTTCAATATGGATTGAAACATCAAGAAGACAAAGATTCTTCCACTGGGCCAAATGGCAGCATCATGACAGATGGAGCAGAGATTAAGGTTAGCAAAATTACAGCTTGCTAGGCTCCACAATCAACACTCTTTTTAACACCAGCAGTCAGGAAATCAAAAGGCAATAGCTTACCTTAACTTGGTCATTATTTCTAGTTTAGGTTGTCAGGGTACCTTTATGGAGTCTCTTTTTCCTAGTAGCATGAAACAAACATACATGAAGCATTAACTAGACCACTGAATGTTGCCTCTTCCTCACATATTCCCTCATGAGTTGTTCACCTGATCAGCAAAAATTTTCCAGCCTGCTTATACCACTGTCAACCTGCTCAACTTTAGCTTCTCTTTAAGTTGGCCCTTCCCAGATGTGTTCAGGCTTGTTCTCAAAGTCCTCAGAGGGAATGTGATCCTGCTCTGGGGTAGAGGCTAAGCACAATCTTCCTTTTTATAAGGAAACTGAGGCTCAGGATGGTAAAGTTAGTTATGTGCATGTTACACCGAGTATTCAAATTTAGTTCTTAATCATTCCTCCCAACACAAAATGGAAGAATTCCTACTTACCTGTTGTTCCTAGCAGCATTTATTTCCTCCAGAGAGCTGGTCAAAATTCATAACTTTTTTGCTTAGTATGCCTGCCCATGTAATTTTATTATGGATCATGATCACAGCAATATCCAAGCATATAAAATGTTTGATTTTTTTGAAAACTACAGTGTAGTTATCTGCATTTCTTTTTCTTCTATTTCAGGCATGTGTAAAAAGTGAATACTTTCCATGATAAAGGAAAATGGCCAACTCTTTAAGAGGAGAAGTATTAAATCTTTATAAAAATGTGAGTAGTTATGTTGACAATTTTATAAACATTACTGTATGACCTGATTCATTTAGAAATATATAATCTTTCTTTTTAAGCTGCTGTATCTTGGGAGAGATTATCCAAAAGGAGCAGATTATTTTAAAAGGCGTCTGAAGAATGTTTTCCTTAAAAACAAAGATGTGAAGGACCCAGAGAAGATCAAAGAACTTATTAGACGGGGTGAATTTGTAATGAAAGAGCTAGAAGCCTTGTATTTTCTTAGGAAATACAGAGCTATGAAACAACGCTATTATTCTGATGGCAACAAAACTAACTGATTATTGTAACTATAGCTGAAAATCTGTGCCAGCTATTTATGTATATTACATATTATAAAATCATTCTACTTGAAAATGATCAAGGTCTGTATCTTATAAATGATATCTGAGCTGCCCTACTGAACTAAAATGGATATAACCCCTTTCCGGAGCTTAATCAGCTATCCTTTATCCTCAATTTTATACTAATATAGTAATTTAAACTTTTAATGTTGTAAGCCCCAATTATAAAATTATTTGAGAACTCAGTTTTGTAATGAAAATGTTATTTCTAAACCTAGAGAGTTACAGCCAATTATTTTTAGCCATTTCTTCATTATATTGACCAATAATACTATTTAA